GTTATAAGTCAATGAGTCTCAGTAAGCCAGTCATAGACTTGTGAGATTCAGGCAGATTTCTGGCTGCAAGTTCCAAGTTGAGCTCCTTGTCCTCCTGCAGGGTTGAACTGTGCAAATTCTACTGCAGGTTCCAGCTGTCTTTCCCCTGAAGATAGTCCAGGTTCTGATGGGAGGTGATGATCCCTCCAACTTACCAAGCACAGTGGTCTGGTGTGCCTTTATTGCAGAGATTCTCTTCACTTTTCCAGTGGGCTTCAGTTTTCATCAGGGAGCTTGAGAGAGGCCCTCTCTCTGTTGTTCACTTCTGCAGCTCAGGACAATGGCCTTTATGTCCCTCTGTGCCTCAGCTCCTGGTCACAAGTGGGCGTGGCCTGCTGGACAGAGCTGGGCTCAGTCAGCCCGGGGCGCTCTGCCCTTGCAGCTGTGCCCGCGCAGCTCCGCAGGTGACTGGTGGGCATGCCTGGGGGGTCCTGGTCTCAAGCCCATAAAAGATGACTTTGGTACCAGGGATCGAACTCGGGTCATTGCGTAAAAGATGACTTTGAACCATTTATAGATAAGGAAATACAAATGGATCTTAAATATATCAAAAATAGCTTGAAGAGGATATCAGAAAATGGAAAGGTATACTCTATTCTTGGATAAGCAGAACTAACATAGTGAAAATCTCCATACTTTCAAGACTGTTTACATATTTTATGCAATCCCAATAAAAATACCAATAGCCTACCTCACAGAACTAGAGAAAACAATCCTAAAATTCATATAAAACCAAAAGAGACCTAGAATAGCCAAAACCAATTCTGAGCAACAAGGGCAAGGCACAGGGACTCACAATCCCTGATTTAAAGTTATACTACAAAGCTACAGTGATAAAGACAAGTTGGTACTGGCAAAAACAAACAAAGAAACAAAAAACAAGAAAAATCAGACTCAAATATCAATAGAAAATGCAGAAACATAGACTTTTCCAACCCTGAGCACACTAAGATACCTTAAATTTGACAAAGGGGCCAAATACCTTCACTGGAAGAAACGTAGCCTTTTTAATAAATGGTGCCAGGAAAACTGGCTTTCCACATGCTTAACATTAAACCTAGACCCATGTTTCTCAATGTGCACTAAACTAAAATTGAAATGGATCAAAGATCTAAATATTAAAACAAAAACACTTAATCTCCTGGAGGATATGATAGGTAAAAACTCTTAAAGATATAGTTTTAGGCAAAGATTTAATGAACAAAATCTTAATTACACAGGAGATATTACAATCAACAACTGGAATCTCATCAAATTAAAAAGCATTTGCACAGCAAAATAAGCCACTAACAAAGTGAAGAGACAACCCACAGAATGTGGAAAATTGTTTTACTACCTACTCCTCAGACAAACAACTAATATCTACTAGATTACGTAAAGAACTCAAAAAATCAAATCCTCTCCCCATATTTAAAGGCCCCATCCAAAACTGGGCATTAGAAATGAAGAGATACTTCTCCAGATGAAGAAATATAAACAAAAAATAAATACATGAAAAAATATTCCGTATCACTGGTCATTTGAGAAATGCAAATTAAAACAACACTGAGATTCCATCTCACTCCAAAAACAATGGCTATCATCAAGAAATCAACCAATAACAAATGCTGGCAAAGCTGTGGGGGAAAAAGGGAAACCTTCTTACATTGTTGGTGGAAATGTAAACAATATAACAACTATGCAAATCAGTTTGGAGATTTCTCAAGAAACCAAAACTAGAGATTCCATTTGATCCAGCTATTGCCCCTCTAGGTATCTTCCCAACAGAGTTAAAAGCCTCATACCACAGTGACATATGCATACTTATAGGCATATAAGTTTATAGCAGCACAATTTATAATAACTAAATCTTGGAAACAGCCCGTATGCCCATCAACAGATGAATGGATAAAGAAAATGTGGTATTCATATACAGTGGAGTACCACATTGCCATAAAGAAGGTAAACTTGAGACATTTTTAGGTCAATCGATGGGCCTCGAGACTATAATTTTAAATGAAACAAAGCACTCACACAAGTGTAAATGTTGTTTTGTTTTTCTTGTGTGAGAAACCTCAAGGGTAGATAAGCAGCAAAATGAAAGATAGATATTTGGAGGAAGGAAGAATTTGTTCAAATGGGAAGAGGAACCAAAAGGGGGAGGGGAGAAACTGAAAGGAAAGAAAGGAGATTTACAGAAGAATGGAAGGAAAAAGATGGAAACAAAACCTTTGTAAATCAGGAGGTGGAGAAAGGTTGAATGGAGGGGACAGGAATAGGAAAAAGGAAGAATCAAGAAATAATTTGTGCAGGTAAAAATTCCTCATGATAGATGTGGTCATTGTGTGTGACAGCCATGCACTAATTTTAAAACATGAATGAAAGACAAAAAAATACCAAACTTGCTTATAGCTACAAAAATACATTATAAGTTTAATTATAATGAGTATTTTCATGTGTTAGATGTTCAGAGACCCCCAAAATTGATAACAGAATCGTTTGGCCAGAGTGTAAATAAATAGGCTCATTCATTGCTATTAATAGTATAAATATGTATGATGTATAAGGAGAGCAATTTGGGAATGCTTAACAAAGTTATAAATTTGCAAATTCTTTGTCCTGCCAGCCTACGGATATAGACTTATGATACACACATATTTGAACATATATGAAATGGTGTATGTGGACATGCATTGCACCATTGTTTTTAATTGCAAGTGATTAAGCCGACGTAAATGTCCAAGAAGAGGGGTCTAAGTAATTCACAGGACATTCCTTCTATGGGTAACCATTACAGCTGTAAAAAATCTGAAGTAGTTCAGCACACATTCCTAGGAAATATTTCTAAGAATGAAAAGCAAACTACATGTGTAAAATGAAATACGCTATTTCATTCAAAACACATTTCATGCATATTCTTAAAGTATTATTGATAAACTGGTTGTGGTGGTTACTTCCAGCCTTGCTCTGGTGGGTGGGAGAAAACTCCCTTTCCACCTTGTGTACTGGTGCCCTTTGATACTGTGTGTTTGTAGAACTTACTCGGTGAACATGATAATAATAATCTTGGTGGTGGCCTTGGAGATGGAGAGGGATTGGGTGAGCCTGACTATGCAGAGACCTCCGCATCTTCCTGCTCCACTGTGGCACCCGCATCTAGAGACAAGGGGAGCTGATGACCAGTTTCTACTCACTCAGGGACACTTCATGGTCCATGACTGTACTTTCTTTGCTAGAGATGACGTTGACAAGGACAGCTCAAAGAAGCCCTCTTTAAAAATTTTTTAGCGCCGGTAGAAGAACGTAGACCAGTTACCAGGCCAGTGTTTTTGATGGCTCATGTTTGGTGAGTTTTTACCACAGTTAGCCACATATAGCCATATATTTCTGCAGAGGCTTGGGGTGCAGCTGTGAGGGTCTTGAGGAATCTGCTGTTATCAACAAGTTACTTCCCTGAAGTGGCCTTAAAAAAAAAAGGCATTTTAGCCAAAATGTATTAGACAGGATTCACCACAGAGGCAAAATCAATCAGAGATAGAGTGATAAACAGGTGACAGCTACAAGGTAGGATAAAAAAAATATGGGGGCTGTTTAAATTTTAAAAAAATTATTACAGTAAAAGATACATTGCCATTGATTTAGTTGTATGGTGTCATGGCTACCTTGATGTCCTGAATCCCTTGAAATATTTACCTTTCACAGTCATTTTGACTTTGAAGAAGGGCCAGAGGTCACATGGTGCCAGATCTGATGAATAAGGTGGATAAGGACACACCAAAATGTTTTCACAAGCCTATTTTTCTGTTGGATGGCACTAGGCAGCAGCATTCACCACATTTTTGATCATGTCTCATAAAGACACTCACTAAAGAGGACTTCCAAAATTGCTTCTGTGACAAGAATGAGGAAAAGGGTTCAAATTGAGGGGGAGTATTTTGAGAGAGATTCCCAGCAATGTTGCTTTTACTGTAATAAGGTTTTTAAATATTCCCTCTTTGTAGATAGAGAACTTATTAGCAGAGTTGACTCTCATGATGATGGAAGCTGAAAAGCTCCACTAAAGGCCATCTGCCAGCTGGACACCCAGGAGTCTGGCAGCAAGGAGGCCTGGTCCAAGTGTGAGAGCCTCAGAGCTAGTGGAGAAGGTGGGTAACTCTTGGTCCAGTCCTTGGGGCCACTGTTGCAGTACTGGAGTCATAAGGCCAGAGAGTCTGCAAGTGTGTGTGCGTGTGTGTGTGTGTGTGTGTGTGTGTGTAAAACAGAGAGAGAATAAAAAAACAGATTCTGCCCTAAAGACAACAGAACTTGTTGACAACATTGATTTTATCCCGGTGAAGCAGGCTTTTGGGAAACGGTTTTGAGGCTTTTATCCCCAGAACCAGGAAACAGTAAGTTTTGTTGCTATGTTGCACTGAGTCTTGGTGTGTGTGAGTTACTACAGCCATGGCAGCCAGTACACCTGCCATGGGCTAAACCAAACTTTCTAAATGCCTTGATGCCTGGAGGTGAGAGCCACTTGCCACCCAAGATTCTGGGCACAGCCATTAGAGGCACTGAGCCAGGGCTTCTAGGTGAAGGGACAGTGGGACACACTAGAAGGAGGGCTGTAGACAGCTCGGTGGTTCTCCTGACTGCTGTGCTCAGCGACTTGGGGAAGAGACCTTTAAAACTGCTTTGGAGGACATCTCTGCGGGTTATTGATGCCCGGGCCAGAGCCACCTCCTCCTCTCCCTTATAGCACATGAGTCCTGAGCAAAGCACTGCCGCATCCTGACCCACCCCCGCTGAATCTTCTGAATATGATACAGTTCTTTGATTTTACTGTCCTTGGGTGAGTTGGGAATGGTGGATCTGCAGGAAAACAGCGTGTCCTGAGTTCTGCTGACTGTTGCAAAGGTGGGAAGGCTTTGTGGGCAGCAATATGCACTTTATTAAAGGAAGACAGACTCATTTTGGAAACTGAACTCATGTTTTAAAGACGAGGAATGAGAACCATTTACCAGGGGCTGTTTTGCTCAGTGCAGTGTGGAAGGTCCTGGAGGCAGACCCCTTACATCACATCTTGTCATGGCGACACTCTGGGGACGATAACACAAATCTGGAAGTGATGCTCCTTTTTGTTGAGCGAGCAATGACCTCCCACATCCCTGTCTGTACTTGCAAGGCCTGTTCACCTGAAGTCTCTGCTCTGCCCCTTTGGAATCCCCCTGCCACCAGAATCAACCAGAATGGACAGAAGGGGGTGCACCCAGGAGTGTGGGAACCCTGCCCTTCAGCCAGTTGGAAGACCACCAAGCCTGGGCTGATCTGAGGTTGGGAGCAGCAGCAGAGGTGAAGGATGAGGCCTACCCTGGAAGATGAGGAGCCGCTGATGGCAGTGCCCCAAGTCAGGGAGTCAGGTGCAAAGCCCCTTGCTGCAGGGGGTGCACAGCCTAAAAGAGTTGGAGCTCAGTTACACAGAGCTTAGTAATTTGCATACCTACTATGTGATTATACAGGTACACACATGCATACATTTTTCTACATTGTGCAGTAAGTTCTTTATGACGTAATAAGAGTGGACCTTGGCACTGTCTCTTCTGTGGCTAGCCTGGGAGGTCTCTGCTTGCTCATCTGGAGAGAACTGGAGTGGGTGGTCTCTACAACCTCCACCACTTAGTTCCTACAGTCTCTGAGTTAGAGCCCTTCACACCCTGTCCTCGGAGACACTCAAACATAACATATTCAGGGCACATGATATCCTTTAAACGACAAGTTCTTGCCTTGTTTTCCAGCTTCTATGGCCAGGCCAGGAAAAGAGGTGAAATGGATCCCTATTGGCCTGACAAAATTATTCTGAAGTTGTGGGATGCTTCATGTGAGGGGTCTGTAGTGACTCATGAGACCATGTGCTGTCTGCACATCCAAAGATTCAAGCTTTGCTTCCTTTCCTGGTTTTTCTCTCAAAAGATTGCTTTTAGAGGGTAGGTGCCTGCCCAGAAAGAAATGGGCTTAGCTCCTATTTTGTGATTCTAGCCAGACACAGATGGGAAAGTGAAAACACTGAGTTGAATTTAGACTGGCATAAACTTCAGTGAGTCTTGAATGACACCAAGTGTTTTGATGGACACAGGTTAAAAGTGAATCCCACACAGATATGTGCAAGCTCTGCTCACTGCGGACTACCAGTCCTAGCATTGAGACCTGAGGACGTTCCTGACCTCCTAGAGCCCAGCTTCTCATTCTGCAAGACTCACATTGCTGTTCAAAGCAGGATGTACCACATGCTCAGCTCTAGCATCCAGATTCTGCTGGTGTTCCCTACAGGCCACTGCCATGATTGTTAAGAGTACATGTTTTCCTGGCTAAAACTTCCAGGAAAGATGAAAGCATAATGCTGATTTTTCTTCAGACCCATTCTGTCTCAATATGCAACTCGTATGCCTTTTCTGGCACTTAATGTAAACTTAGATGTAAACATAAATTGCAGAGGCAAAATAGTTTGTGTTGTAGGTAGGTCAAGTACATCTCCAAGCAACTGGCTATGCCTCATTGATAAGGTGCTACACAGCAAGGAAAAGCCAATTTTTTGGGCATTTACTGTGTGCTATGATTTCATGTAGTATTCAAAATAGTCCTGGGGAAGACAGATTTGCCACTCCCTTTTTACAGATTAGGTGCACTAGAAGTCAATCAATTTCTCAGTCAGAGACCAATATGTAAACTGTGGTGAAAAATCCAGCTAGGAGGCTGGTAGTGAGGTGGAGGAGACCAGATTGTGACAGATCACAGAGTACTACTATTGGCTTACAGAACAGGGTTATTAGGTTTATTGCCTAGGTGAATAGATAGGTGGATGAAGATAAGAATACAGGGGGTCAAGGGAAGGCTCACTACTGTGAAAGGCTGAGGAAGGACAGGCAGTGGATAGATGAACCCACGCAAGTTGGAGACTGCTAGCTGCTCAGACCAAAACCAAAATAAAACCAAATAAAGGGAGTTGGAGGGGGGGGGACAAGATGTGAACTGCCTGCGAAAGAAAGCAAGTCTCTTGTTGAGTCACTGTGGGTGCATAACAAATTACTCCAACATGCAGGGCTTACAAACGGCCTTTGCATTTGATGTTTGATCATCTGTGTCAGACATTTGGGATGGTTGCCTGAGCAGTTCTTGCTAAGGCCTCCTGGATGTTGGCTGGAGCTGCTGTGGTTAGAACTAGAGCGTTTGGACGTCCAGCATGGGGCTCCAGGATGCTGGTTGTCTCTCAGGGGGAAGGCTGTAGGGACCACACACTGCCCCACATGACCTCCCTGCCTGATACCTCACAGGACACCTACTTCCTGCGTGGAGTGGGGCATCCTGAAAAGTCCAGACAGAAGCTTCAAGGCCTACTTTGACCTGGGTCTTGCAGGTGCCCAATTTCACATCCTCACACTCGTTCCCAAAGCAGCCCCACACCTGCCCTGGCTCAGAGAGGGAATGCAGATCCCACATCTAATGGAAGTATGATGTCATTCAGGGTCACATCACAGAAGGGACAGATGAGGGGCAGCTGGGACGGAAAGGGCAACACAGCATTCAGGGATTGGGAGACACTGAGGAGAGGTGGTGGAGGCCATTGGGCTTGCACAGAGGTGATGCGATGAGGTAGACAGCGGTGACAGAGGCCGTCAGGCTGGATGCCTGCAGAGGTGGACAGAGGCTGGGTACCATGAGGCTCGGTACCTGCTGAGGTGGACAGAGGTGATGGAGGCCATCCTGTTGGGCACCTGCAGGGCTTGAGCCCGTGATGTCTGGTGGCTGGATCTGGCCAGACAGATAAGCAAGGCATGCACAGCCCACAGGCAGGCAGGGTGAGACCCTCTTCACCAAGGACCAGGGCCCAGCCAGACCCCCGAGCCAAGTTCTGTGAAGACAACATCGGGCTCCTTCTGTTTGCTGCTTCTCAGATAGCTGAGTGCCTTTCAGCCGTTGTTTTCTCCTGTCAGGAACAGGCCCTGGCAGTGAGACCACACCAGTGAGTGTGCAGGGCCGGGGCCCAGGATCCTGGTCCGCTCCCCTGCTCAGCTTGAGTGCATGGGGACAGGCCTTGTCCCTGAGGTGGGTTCTCCACATAGAAAATGCCTCACACATGCGCAGGGACTGTGCTCAGCTCCACTTCCCTGCAGTGCCTGGGGCTTGCATCTCAGAGAACTGGATGCCTGTGACAAGCAGTGGGCTGGTGTGTAAGGGGGATAGAGGGTCCACTGTGAAGAATGAAAACTGTCCCAGAGGTGGGTGGTGGTGATGGCTGCACAACCACAGGAATGCACTTAGTGCAGTGTACACTTATAAATAGGAAATCCGGGAGGGTGAGCTAGGAGGATTGAAGTTCAAGCCAAGCTTGAGTAACTTAGAGAGACCAAAGAGAAACAAATACAAAGAAAGATTAAGGATGCAGCTCAGAGTGTAGGCCCTGGGTTCAATCTCCAGTACTGCCAAAAAGCAAGTTAAAATGGTAAACTTCATGCCATATATATTTTACCACCGTTAAAAGGGGGAACAAGACAAAAGCCACATACTGGGCTGTAATCCTAAGAATAATTGTTTCACAGGTAGCAGTTAGCAGGTTCTGGGAATTATAGAGTCCTAGGGGATATTGGTGTCAGAGCCAGTGTGGTCCCCACAATGGTGTGCTCAAGGTCTATTTCCTGTCACCCTGGAACCTGATGTGCTGTCTGTTCAGCTGGTGGATGTGGCCAGATTTTCCCTGGCCCAGTTCTGCCCTGGCCTTTATACATTTGTCAGAAAGCTGCACATCAGACCTCTCATAGGTGTTTTGCTGAAATGGACAATTTCAGGAAGCACAATGTATGTCAATGTATAAAAGCTCAAATTACTTGACAGGATTTATGGGACATTAAAGAATCGCTGTGGTGGAAATGGTAGAGTTGGGAAGCCATTTGGTCTAGCCACACAGCTGACTCCTGTTTCAAGGTGAGTACTTGGTGGATTCCTGTGGAATGTCTATGAGGTGTCCTCAGACATGCCCACTGCAGCCCTCCTGCCTCTATGCTGTCTGACAAAAAGTGTGGGCAACTTGAGGACAGCAGCCAATGGAGTCTTATAGGGGCTTGGTGCTATTCTGTAGAGGATCTCAGGGATTTCAAGTTAAACAAAACAAAAAGCACATTTTGTTGGTGATTTTCAGGAAAGCTGGTTGCAATGTACATAGATCCTAGTCTACCTATCTACCCAAGTGAGGGTGACGTGTGCCATGCGAACTCATGGTGCAGCAACTTGGTAACTGTAATGACAGGTGGCCACCTACAGATATGGTGGCTAGAGAGGCTATCTTGATAGAGCTCATAAGCTTATTTACTAGGGGAATTCAACGAGTGGGGAATTACTGTAAATTTAGCCTGGGGTTAAAAAATACGGTTCCATGACCCAGCATTGCTCACAGACACTGCCATGAAAAATGAAGCTGAAGGGATACGTGGAAGATGAATTTTACCTCTGTGTGTGTGTGTGTGTGGGGGGTGCCTTCTACACTTGCTTATTGGATAGGCTTACAGGATCAGAGGAGGAAGAGTCCACAATGATCACCTGTGTACTGGAGAGCTGAGGACCTAACAGTTGCTCTGCCTGAGGATCTGGAAGCCACAGAACAAGAGGGATGAAGGACATGGCACCAGTCTGAGACCAAGGGCCTGGAAGCTCCCTGGAGAGTGGCTGGTCTGAGTCTGCATTGGAAGCTGAAGAAACTGTAGTCTGATGTCCAGTAGGTGATAGCAGCAAGCAGCAGCAAGAGATGCTCTTGTTCAAACAGAGCAGAGCTCTTCAAATTTCACCAACTGCCTTCTTCTTTCCTTTTATTCTACCCAGGATACAAGTCTCTTGTTTAGTGCCACTCCTTACTGGGATGGGTTCTTCCTGCTCAGTTTGCTGGTCTCCCTACCAGTCATTCTGGAAGCACCCCAGAGACACGCTCAGAAATGTGCTTTACTAATTTAGGCATTTCTTAATCTAGTCAAGTTGACACATTACAATTAAAGGTCACACTTCCCTTCATGCAACCACCCGTCTATCCATTTATTCTGCTATCTTTCCTTTCCTCCATCTGATTTTCCTACCTCCCACTAACCGTTCTTTTCATCCTTTCTGCCTTCCACTATCCATCCATCCATCCATCCACCATCCATCATTCCATCCATCCATCTATGCATCCATCCATCCTTCCATCCACCCAACAATATTTCTTAGTTTCTACTGTATGAAGATGATATTGTAGAAGCTGAGGATCCATGTTCCTATCTTCTTGGACTTTATGTTTTACCAGAGAAGATAGAAAGTCAATGAGCAGGGGCACACTGTGAGCCCAGGGAAGACAGGTGCAGAGCTCAGCACATTGGCTCTGCACAGCACTGGAGCAGGGTGGGGCAGATTATAAGGACATGAGGGCAATG